AGGCTAGTCCATACAGTTGACATGTTAAATGATTTAAAACAGTAAGAAATAGAATTTTCAGGAAGAGGTTTTTGGAAAGTATCTACTTAATGTAGGATGCTTTAAAAAATGAAAATAAATAAAAATAATGAAATAGAGCAGTGACACCTTAAAACCACGTAATTTTGCGTCAACCATTTCACGACTGAGTATTCCTCCTTTCGGTTAGAAATTACTTGTTTTGTTCCCGTTACCAGACAAGGATTATTTACTTTTGCAACAAGATTTCACAGTTCTCTCCTCACCGTCCTCATACATTTTACGTTGTTCTTAAGCTTCCGCGTGTAGCGAGGTAGGAGTCCCTCTCAATGGTCAAAGGTCTTCATCTAACTACAATCATGGAAGCACTATAACATTTTCTTGTAACGCTGGATTCTCTGTCCATGGCTCGGCCTCCAGGACCTGCAGCCATGGACATTGGAGTGGGACTAGGGCTGAATGTAAAGGTACGAAAACTTGCTGAACTTTAAAGCCAAAGTAGTGTAGCTCTTGTTAAAGTGCTACTGAAACGAAATTTTCGTACACACTTTTATTATATCTCTCAGTTAGTAGGCGCGCTGTGATTGGTCAATTTAGCTGGCCGTATTCTACTGTGCAATCCGCTAAAATTTAAAGCTGTTTTTGCTGCCAAAATGTTTCGTGGTTTATCGACAAGTGTTCTTTTTTAAGCAAGTAAAAGAACAAAATTGTGTATTAAAACCTACTAACGATTTCAAACGATCAGATCAAATTGAGTTGTTTTGCTTTCGAGGTGCGTCAGAAATTTGAAACCGTTCCGCGTGAATAGAAATCGTTCCCGAGCCGTCAGACATACAGTAGAGATAAAATAAATATCTTAATAGCCTCCTTCTTTCGTTTTGTGCTGTAAGTTACAGATCCTCGTTTTTCCCCTTCGATTTATGGCCCGCGCGCGCTTCGCGCTTGGGCCATAAATCTATGGGGAAAAATTCGGTCCGTAACTTACAGTACGGCCCTCGAACTCGGTTAGTGAGAGGTATTTATTAGCCCAATCTATAGCTTTTCAGTAAACTAACTCATCCCCAAATGCTGAATTATTTTTGTACCTAAAGAGTGCGTATTACAATTAAGAATTTTTCCCGTTACTTCTTTACCTAGACGTGGATGAATGCGCCGAAGGTCGTTGTACTCAGCAATGCGTAAACACTCTTGGTGGTTTCATGTGTTCGTGTAATCCCGGTTACTCTTTAAACAGCGATGGCACGACATGTGATGGTAATTTATTCCTGATAACGTTTAATTTTATGTTTAAAAATGGACGATTAACCAGGATAAGACATAATTAAAATTTAAAAAAGTTCTCCGATTAAAAGAGTTTAAATTACGAGCTTTCGATTGCCAGTCTGCAATCTTTGACAAATAGTGAATAAAAAGCGCGATCGTTGAAATAAATACGGTAAAAAGTAGAGAAATTTACAAGGAGAACAAAAAGATACTTGCGAGGAAATAAAATGCTGATATGGGGTTCACAAAAGAATAGAATATTGTCTAGGTAATGGTTTTGAGTTATTGTCAGATTCAATTATAATTGCGGTATGCCAGGATTCCAAAGTCTTCCTAAAACGAAAATTTCCCTTGTCGATAGGCCTCGTTCGATATATCAATATTCTTACATGGCTCCGAGGCTTTCAGGACAAACTTCTATATTTGGTGTTGTTTCTTTGTATCCAAGTCTCTTTTGGGAATTGAGAAATTTACAATTTTGACCCGATTGCCTCGGAGCCATATTAGAATATTGATATATCGAACGCGGCCCATTACGTGGGCGTTATTAAAGTCAATAGTGTGTCAATCAATCAATCAATCAATCTTTATTTAAACACGAAAATCTTGTCATAGAAATGGTCTTCCTAGGAGTCGTGTAAAAAATTACAGAGAATAAATTACCTATATTAACAGAAATGGATTAACTAACGTTCAACCACGCATGATTGAACCTTTTTTTATAGGTTTTCGTCTTCCTAATATGTGCTTTTTGCCTTGTTCGTAAACACCTTCCAGTTTCATCTATATAGTTCCACGGACATTACGCACAGGAAATCTTATAAACGACATAGTATTGGTAAAAACAATAATAACCTGTGACCCGTGACCTGTGTTTTAGACCCGCCACATTTTTGTAGATCGGCCGGCGGTCTTGACTTGGGGGAAGAGATTACCAAGGTAGGAGAGTGAATCCCCCATATAGGCCTCATTCCGCCCAAGGTTATTTTTAGACATGGTACCCAGTTCTTCCGAGAATGTTACTCCCGCGATGCGTGGACAGCCCAAAACTACCTGAGACGAAATGGCGGGAGATTTGGTGAAAAGTCATTTTATATGCTTTGATTTTAAAAAGACGTTTCATAGCAGAGATGTTTTCTGCACTCTCAGCCGTCTTTTTGTTCGGCTGGGCCTTCGTTTGCTTTGTGCTCGTTTGCCTGTTCATTATTTTGCCGTTTATTTGGTTTTAGGGAGTTTAGAAAGCAAACCTACAATGGCTGTGTAAGCGTGCGTTATAGTTCTTTGTTCATTTCTTGGCCGTTATTTACAAAACAACAACGTGAAATAGCCACATTCGGCATATTCGAGAGAAGGTGAACTACGACGGCCAACTTTTAGAATTTCTTTTTCGAATAACGAAGCGCGCGAAATCTCAAAATAGAATGCAAATTATTGGAACCCCGCGAGAGTCAGACAACGTAAGCATGCTCTGAGAGAAATAGGAGGTAAATGAACGCCAAATTTTCGTTGTTAAAATTGCTTTAGGAACACTTGCTTACGCGCTTGAAAAAGCGTCAAATCTTCCACCATTTCGTTTTGTTTGTCTGAGTTATGACGTCACTCGCGCGCTTCGCTATTTTGACGCTCTCTTACATATCTGTTTGGGATACTTCTGACACTGATAGACAGACTGAATGAATCTGAATAGGCCACGTTCGATATATCAATATTCTAACATGGCTCCGAGGCTTTCGGGACAAACTTCTATATTTAGTGGTGTTTTCTTTGTATCCAAGTCTCTTTTGGGAATTGAAAGACAAGAAAAACTTTAAAAATTTGCAATTTTGACCCGAAAGCCTCGGATCCACCTTAGAATATTGATATATCGAACGTGGCCTATTCAGTCTGGCGAGATTTGTAGGTTGAACTGAATATAAAGTCGGTTTTTAATCGACGTTGTCTTTGGCGTTGTTTCCGTTGTCGCTTAAACTGCCTTTTTTCTGGTTAGGCGGCTGGCGTCTCTCTACACCTTCGACCACCTGTTTGTTCGGGTGCGTTGTGTTTGGGCGTTTGTTTGCTCTGTATTAGTTTGTCTACTTACATCTTTGCCGTTCGTTCAGTTGTTATCGTATGTGCAGGGGACATCTGTCTCTTATTTAAACTCCTATTAAAGTTCGAAATGTATTAAAACATAGCGAGCGCCGAAGCTCCTTAGCAAAGAAGACATCCCCGCAGCGTTTGAGATTTTCCTTCGCTTTGAAACGAAACATAACCAAATCCTCCACGAAAACATCAATGCAACGCGCGAGTAACATCCACGGAAGAACTGGGTACCATGTCTAAAAGTAACTTAAGAGCGATTACCTTGGGTATAAGGCCTAAATGGAGGATTCACTCTCTTACCTTGATAATCTCTTGGGGAAACAAATTCCTGTTGTAAGGTCTTGTAGGTCTACTTGTGGCTTGAATTCCGTTGTTCCTGAGTAGTCTTGTAAGTGGTTCAGTTAGAGTTAAACCATTGATTTATGGTAGGACTGCAAAATCACGGTGCTAGTCTGATGGTTCAGAACATCCCGACCAATTCTTCTAGGAATGGTGTAATTTCAAGAGGAGGTTTCTTCTTCAGGATGTTTGAAATAATATACTGAGGGTAGCCATCCGATTTCAGCGCATTTTTGACGTGAATCAATTCTTTTGACTTTCCCTCAGAGGGGCTCGGTAGTTTTAAAGCGCGGTTCAGAGGGGTGGAGGCAGTATTAATTTTGTGTAATATTAGCATCCATTTCCTCGCAAGTATCTTTTTGTTCTTATTGTAATTTGTTTTACTTCACACTTTTTACCGTATATATTTCAACGATCGCGCTTTTTCTTCACTATTTGCCAAAGAGAACCAGAGAACGTTTTAAAATATTATGTTTAATTTTATATTGTTGAACTCATTTCTATCGGTCTTACCCTTCCTAATATGACCAAAACATGCATAACGGTTGAAGTTTATTTGCATTTGGAATTTTAATGTCATTATGCATCTTCAACTGAACTTCTAGTCCCCGACCCGCGGGACATAGCGAAAAATTAACATTTACCCTCTCTTTAAAAATGCCAATTTCTCCGTTTCTAGGGTCAAGTAGTCTATTAAGATCCCCTACTGAGCGGCATCAGTACTTTAATACCAAATACAACACAACTTTAGTTGAATTTTGTTGGTCTCGGCTCACTGCCAAAGTCAGACTTCAGCGGCGACGCAAGCTGGACTATGCGTGTTCAACTGCAACTGCTTGTTGACTTTTTCATATTTACTCATGAGCAGACACAGTAGTCTATTCACGTCTCATCTTAAATCACCACTCGACTGCCCCAAGCAGTTAAATGCTTGTCAATGCTTGCTTTGCTGAGCTACATCTCCGCTTATGTCCCAGGGGTTGGCAAGCTCATATAGCGTCAACAGCCATATTCACGGTTAACGTTTCCATTTACACTGCAATGTAATCAAGTATTTATGTGAGGCAATTCCGGGCAGAAACTACGAAGTTGTTCGAAATTGCCGGGCATGCAAGTTAGAGAAATGTAAAGCGTGGAAAGGGTTATTGACTGATGCATAATGAACCATAATAACATAGGACGTGCCTGCAGACACTCAAGATGGCCAAGAAGACTATTAGTAAATCTTTATATTAACAACGTTTTGTGCTCCGGTTTTAGACGTGAACGAGTGTTCATTAGGCTTGTGTAGCCACAGCTGCCATAACTCTCCGGGAACATTCCGTTGTTCCTGTCCCACCGGTATGGAACTCGCCCCTGGGGGACGATCCTGCCGAGGTTAGTTGTTGTAATTCTCTGGCAGATATTGAAAGTATACCAGAGCAATATTTAAATAGTGTTATCCATGAAAATGACGTTGAAAAGTAGAGCTAGGGGCTGAAGGGTCTACTGGAAAATGCCAGCTAATCTCCTTTTCAACTGGAGGCCAAATCCCGCATTTTGCATGGATATGTTGCTTCTAACAAAGTTGAAAAAAAAAAAAACACTCAAAGAGTAAGCAGCTTGTTAAAAGCAACAAGAACAAAAAGAAGAGAAAATTCACACTGGTTAGGTATTCCAGTCACTATGCTCAACTCAACCACAAACTGAATCATGGCGCAGAGTTCCATTGTCTCCCGGGACAGACGGACACCAACAACAACAATATGCTACAGGAGACTAATGGCGGACACGAAACAATGATTTAGCAAATACGCGATCGTGATGCCATAGAATCTGTCAGCATTCAAGGCGCACTTCACTCGTGATGATCTGTACACCTCAAGGATTCATTAACAATTATTCCACGAGCGCGCGTTGGATATGAGATGATAGATGGCTATAATCATCTCATATCCAACAGGCGCGAGTGGAATAATTGTTTTATTAAAAATGCCCCTTCAATATAGAAAACTAAAGTAAAATGAAAATAAGAAGACTAAAAAAAACTCCCGCTTACGCTCACCATATTTGTAGAGCATGGTGTAATGGCTCATAAACCATGATGGCTAAACCAATGATCCAGTTATCAGTTTTTAAGGGAAAGAAGCGCGAACAGACAAAAGTGAGAGAATCATTCAGAACTTGACAGGCTGAGTCTGTATACATTAAGTATGCTGTAACGTGGCGACCGTATATTAAGTAATGAGTTAACTTATGCAAGTTATGAGAACACTTCAGAGCTACTATTTTGTTGTGTCCCCAATTAGTTGTGAAACCTAAATACATTGACACATTAATAAAGCTTTTACTTACTTACTTACTTACTTACTTACTTACTTACTTACTTACTTACTTACTTACTTACTTAGTTACTTATTGATCGATTGTAGTTCAGTATTTTTAAGGGCCATGATGTTGATCATTCAAATAAAATGGTTTGTGAGCTCTGTTTCATTTTTGTTTACAGACAAAGATGAATGCACTTCAAACAACGGTGGCTGTGAACATATTTGTGCAAACAGCTATTTAAGCTATGGTTGTCATTGTCGTGGAGGATACACCGCTGCAGTCGACAACAAGAACTGTAACGGTAGCGATACACAACAAACTTTAATGACTTTAACATGATTGGACGAGGTCACCTCATTCTTAGAAGTGTGCAACGTGTGGCCGGTTCCTTTTCTTAGTATGCCCTTCTTACTTTCGTTTAAAAATGAATTGCTCAACAATCTGTATATTTTAAACTTTTGAGATTAAAGTGAAATTTCTGGATAGAAGACTGGATAAATTTCAAGTGGGAATCAAATAACCTAAATATTTGTTTATGAATCATTTTTTCATGGAATTTCATCTTGCCTTGTAGAAAAACTATGTCCGTCCATTACTGCTCCGGCCAATGGCGCTGTATCTATAGCTGGTGACCCAATTCTAGGAAATATCGCCACTTTCAAGTGTAATGCGGGTTATCAATTAAAGGGATCTCAAAAACGAATCTGTTCAGCAAATGGGCAATGGTCTGGTGTTCAGCCGACATGTAACGGTAAGAACTACACATTTTCCGCACCATATCAGTCGCATGAAACAAACACCTCCATAATTAATAGACACATATAGACAATACAGGCAATTGGCCGGTTGGCCGGTTGGGTCCTTTCGACACGTTTTCCAGAGGATTTCCGATTACAGTTCAAACCCTATTAAACGGCCACTCTCGGGGAAATGGATAGTGGTCGCTTAAAGGGTTGCTGGCCGCTTAATAGAGGTAAAAACAATAGAAAAACTCTCATCGGGACTTTGATTACTGGCCGCCTATAGGGGTGGCCGTTTAATAGGTGGCCGCTTAATAGGAGTTCGACTGTAGTAGCAGCTTTTAAGCCAGACCACAATTACAAAATGGAAAGTCTGTTTGCCTCATAATGAACTGTTCGTTATCTGAACGTCATTCTGCAAAACATGAATCAGAGCCGGGAAAATCAAAGAGCTGCTAACTTGATGTCTGTTCACAGCCGGGCGGTGCATCGACGTGGGAACAGTCAAATATGGTACTCGTCAGGGGAGTGGCACTAGTTATGGAAGCAGTGTTAGTTTCTCGTGTAATAGCGGATATGGTCTGGTAGGCTCCGCCCAGCGTCTCTGCGAACAAAATGGAATCTGGAGCGGACAACAGCCTAGATGTGTTCGTGAGTACCGGTTGTCATGTTTGTGATTTCCTACAAACAAATTATTGTATTACATTTGACAATTGCCGCTAGCAAGCAATGACTGAATACAAAGAGAGCAGATGCATTTGTGACCAACAAGGACTGAGCATGTGAGCTACAGCATTGCCTATATTTTTTTTTTCTTTGCATTAATGATAATTACCTTTGGTTGTCAGGTGCTGACTGTCCACAATTATCCGCTCCAGCGGATGGTTCGGTTGAAGGATACCGTCGAGAAACAGGCAGCACTGTCCGTGTGTCGTGTGACAAAGGATACAAAGTCCATCCAGACAGTTCATCGTTTAGGAGCTGCCAAGCGGACAAGCAGTGGTCTGGGGCTGATCCAATGTGTCAACGTGAGAGCTATCATATTTTTCTCTCTTTCAGTCTACACAAATTATTCGAGAAACGACAGGTTGTTCTTGCAGCGGCCCAGATTTCCTCTGTTATTTATACTTTATTGCAGTGGAACGGTCATTTCAAATTAAAAAATAAATTCTGTGCCGAGAACGTATTAACACGAATCCAGAACCTTCGACGTCTGCAGCGTAGTATTACAGTGAAGCCGGCGCAGAGCTCTAAAATGTAAGTGGCAGTGACTGGCGGAGAACATTAAGTTGTAAAAGTTCTCATAACCGTTTTGAGGAGCGTTGATAAACATTTTAAAAACATGCATTTTATGAACTTAACGTTCATGTTTTTAAAATGTTTATCACCGCTGTTTGTTTTATATTTTTAATCAAGCTACGATGGTCGAATTCCAAGAGTTTATATGATACCGTTTTGAGGAGTGTTTTGATAGCATTCCAATCCTCTCTTCACCCCAAATTTAAATCAGCTGGTTCACGAACGCTGAGGAATTATAGGTAGGTAAGACCGCTAGGTAGAACGGAAACTTGGTTTGATTAAACGAATGTACTCGTTTCTTTCTTAGAAACACGAAAAGATTACCTTTTTGTTTTCAATGCGTACACTTAGTTATAGACTGCGGTGATCCAGGCACTCCATGGCATGGCTACCTACACGGAGCTGATTTCCACTATGGCAGCACGGTAACGTTTTCTTGCCGCCCCCAGCATCACCTAGAAGGAGACACTCAACGAGTATGTCAGGGAGATGGCCAGTGGAGTGGACAGCAGCCCAAGTGTTTGGGTATGATGTGGAAACTAACTGAAGTCTGTAAAGTACAAAAGAATTTTAAGTTCTTCACTTGCTTGTATTCCTTCGGTCGGTCGCAAACGGTTCCCATACGAGGAAAGATCAGGAAAAGCTAGATCAGGCCGAGGTGTTCAGGAAGTAGTCTCTCTGTTTTCTTTCAGTCATGGAGTGGGATAAGATAAGTAGACGGTTCGAATAGCAAGTCCCCTGTGAATGAAACACCTTTCATGATTCGACGGTTGAACCTGGAAACCGTGCTGATTTTATGCCGGATGTACTATTGGACCCGCATAAGTGAAGTCATGTGGGAGATGATGAGGCCCACTTAGTTCCTTTTTTTGTATTTTAGAAAGGTCATGTGGAAATCCTGGTTCGCCAGCGAATGGGATAAAGATTGGAACTAACCATACATACGGCGCATCCATCCAGTTCACATGTAATCAGGGATACACATTGCAAGGCCCACAACAACGAACCTGTCTGACCACAGGCCAGTGGTCAGGCTCACAGCCAACATGTCAGAGTAAGTCTTACATTTCTTAAGCAAGTCTAGAATTTCTCCTTTGGACGATTTAGCTTAGTTTAGTCTGTCGTACTCTCAAATACTCATGGGAAGTGGAGGGCGTCCAATTGCTTCGTTGGGGCTTTAATTTTCCTATTTGCATTGTAATAAAATTAATTCAATCGCAGTCAGAAACTACAAAATTGCCCAATATTGCTAGACATTCAATTTGAAACACAATAAAAAGATTACGATGAAATTCGTATAACAATGCATAGCTTTTATAACAATCACCGACCTACCAGTGATTTCACAGTCTGTTCATCCATACTGTTAATTACTTCTCTTGCGGACGAACATACTTTAAATAAGGGACAAATTTCATTGTAATAGGCAACGTTTCTCGTATTCCCTTATTTGTGATTTCCGTAGTTCGACAGAAGGGATGTTAATTTTGCTCTAGGACAGTCACACTGTTCTGTACGTAAAGGCTTTTTTTGGATCCCTTGGCTATAAAACACGGCTAGAATTTTCCTACAACTTTTTTGGTACAACTGAACTGAATGTCAGAAGTTCTTTTGCTTGCGATTTTTCCTAATGATATTGCATATTTGTTTTCACATATAGTCGTGAGTTGCGGTGATCCGGGGTCCTTGGCAAACGGTTTTAGAATCGGTGACAAGTTTACTTATGAGGAACGAGTAATCTACGACTGTAATGCTGGCTACAAACTTCAAGGATCTATCATCAGAAAGTGTGAAGCCAATGGTCAGTGGTCAGGCTCAACTGCTAGTTGTGTTGGTGAGGAATTATAAATTATCTCTACAATTTGTACACGATTATGCTAGATTTATTATCTATGTCACCTTTTTGAAAAATATGTATCGCTGAAGTAAGCACCGGTTTTTTAACTTTTTTTTTTCCCGAGTCCTACTTTTTGTGGCGTTATTTCGAATATTACCTTCAATTTTCTACTCTTAAAAAAAACTCCTTCAAATGTTTTCACATTGATTGTTGTTATTGATATATAGCTGCACTTCTGCGATAACTTGTTTGTTTCATTCGTTTGTTTTGTAGCGTCAAACTGTGGGAACGTTCTTCACGGCCCCTCAGGTTCTTTCCAATCCTCCAACTTTCCAAATAACTATCCGAACAACGAGTACTGTACTTGGGAGATTCAAGTACCTCAAGGAAAGAAGGTTCGTCTTGAGTTCGAGGAGCTAAGGACTGAAGAGAACAAAGACTTCGTGTTCGTTTATGATACAGGCAAAACCGATCCGGTCGTAGCTTTCAGCGGTGTCAAAGACAAACCACGGGTAATAACTTCCTCCGGAAACAGCTTAAGGGTCAGATTCATCGCAAACGGTGACAACTCTAACAATGGATTTAAAGTTTCTTATAGACAGACAGGTTAGTCTCAAATATTTGTAAGACTGGGGCGAGGCTATTGTGGTGTGTGTATCTACTGCATTACCAATGTTAACCATTAACAATTATTCTTTGAAATCGAGGTGAATGTTACTTGTTACCTGTCCACTTCGTGCAATGTCAATCTCAATTCATGCGTGAAAACGTGTAAGCGGTGCAAAGCATACGCGAAACCATTTAGAAAATCTTCAAACATGGCAAATCTGGTTAATAGCAGATTTGCACGTTGTCGTCATTTGACTACAACTACCAGAATTCCTTTCGTCTTTTCTTTGTTATTTAAATTTTGAATTCCCAGTGGGGTTTAAATAACAATTTCCCTAATTAGCATAAGAAACATAAACGTGAAGGATTCTGGTAGTTGTAATCAAACGACGCTATCATGCAAATCGCCTATTTCGATAAAATCCTCGTCACAATCTAGAAACAATGCTCTTTAATACTGTTTAAATCAGTGATCTAAATCTGAAGTCTACTTCGAAACATTTTCAATGTTCAATAAAAGTTTTGAAGTTCACTTGAAATTCATTCGGCGAAGGATCCGCCCTTTGCGCAGGACCGTGGATTTTTTTTTTTTTTTGCACAAAGATGCACGTTCTCTTGAATATTTTTGGGAGTGCTTGGCACTTGACACTGCTGCCGATGACCTCGCAAGATTCATTTCTGCCAATGCAGGCTAATAGCGCTCGTTTCGTTTATTTTATCCTCAGACTGTGGAGGAATACTGATTAGCGAAACAGGAGAAATACGCTCTCCTGGTTTCCCAAATGGTTACCCTCCAAACCTGAGCTGTACATGGCTTATCTTCATCCCCAACAAACAAATCGGTCTGACACTGGACGAATTTAAGACAGAAAATGCTTATGACCGTCTGGAGGTCGCTCATGGACCCTGGGTAACCGCGCCTCTCGAGATAGCCTGGAGCGGTCCCAGTCCACTATCAGGCCAAGTGGTCACAACTCAGTACATGTGGGTCCATTTCATAACCAGTGCGCAAGACAATGGAGTGTACAAGGGATTTCGTGCCACATACAAACCATACGTCCCTTACTCAAAGAAGAAATGAACGAGAATTAATAAATCAGGAACGTCAAAATGTACTGTAGCTTGTAGAGTTATCAATTGAAACAATGTATGATGAGCTGTGAATAAATAGACATGACATATAGTTTGACTGCGGTTTTTATTTCGGTATTTATTATATCCCATTCTTCACTGAACATGAGCCGGAAATACACCACCAAATCGCCAGTCATATATTCCAGTTCCAGTCCCTGAATGGTGCTTAGAAGGTGCTAACAAGTAGCCGCCCTCACACCTTGTAGTAGCCTTGCTTTGTACTGTAGTACAATTGGCAAGGAATTCCTGTAAAATCTCCCCAGCATGCAGCTGCTGCCTCGAAGTGTGCCCCATGGGGGTACCGCGGGCTAAACTCAAGCTCCCAGCCCAAATCCATGTCTGGATTTATGAAAACCGTGCCAATTTCAACACAATGAAAGAAAATTCAGAGGCAGCCTGTCACTACACAGCCTACTCACCCACCTTGCCTGTGTGTGGCTGGCTGACTGAGCCTGCGCAGTACGGTCGGCCAATTGTGTCCTGCAAAGAAAATGACCATTTTTACTGAGGAATGTGCCTCTCTCTGTGACCCCCCCCACCCCCCTGGGGTATGGCCCTTGGGGCCCAGCTCAGTACCAGCTAGTAGCCAGCACCCTGGGCTCTCTGCCACCACCCTCCTTGGCAGAAGTTTCCCCTGGATTTCAAGTGCAGAAAAGGACAGGCAAAAAANCCCACCCCCCACTTCCTTGGGGTTTAGGTTCTTGGGGCCCGACTTGGTATCAGCTGGTAGCCAGAGACCTGGGTTGTCTGCCCCAACCCTCTTTGACGGAGGCCCCCCTGAGTTTCCAAGCCTCGCCGGCAGTCGGGCGAAAACGTTTTGCCCCAATTTTGGCACGGTTTACCTAAATCCACACATGTATACATACCATGCCATACAAAATACAGCGAATCAGAATACAGGGAAGCCGTTGTATCTTCAATGTCTGTGGCCTTGATTGTGTTGGACAACGTATTTTCTATGGTATGGTATAAAACAGGTATGTTTTCGTGGCATACCATAGACCACTTGTCAATTGTCTTTTCTTAGCATACACACTAGCACAAAGGCTCACCGTGTATATAAGGAAAAAATACAAGTGACTCGAGGGATATTTCATGGTATACCACTCGAAAGGGTTGCATAACTAATATATATGTAATTGAGACATAACTATAGCAACTCGACATATTAATAACACTTTTCAAACTTTTGATCCCATTTGACAAGCCTTATAGTCTAGGGGCCCGTCTAACGCTCTGAGTCAGCAAATTCTTTCTAAGAAGGTCATGTGTTGTGATTGGCTCCACATTTTTTGTAATGTAATCTTTTATTGTTTTTAATTAAAAATTCAGCAAAGGCAAGTAAAAAATTAAGCATTATTTAAAATAGGCCTTATCGCGGTTTTCGACGCCATCTGGATGGGTAGGCAAAGCGGTCAGAAATTATAGTGTTTGTATGGGAATCTCATGGCAAATAACTTTTTCCAAACTTGAATTTTACACATTTGGTAATCGCAACGTTAAAATACTAGGTAGAAGATTGTATTTACCAAGTTTGCAGGATGTAGCTTGGCTAGAAGACGCTCAGTTTATTTTTCTAATTTTCCATACATTTGTCTGTAGATTTGGCTGGGTAGACGCGGTTCGCGAGAAAAAAAATTACAGACAAATGTATGGAAAATTAGAAAACTTAACCGGCTGCGGCCCCATGCCCCACCGGGGGCAATAAGGATTGATGATGATTCAGACATTGAGTAAAATGTTTATCCACACAAACAACAACAGCCACTTGATGTTGATTATGTCCCAGGTGGGTTTGGAAGGAGGGGGGTGACGGTGGAATGCTTAGGCGCGACGGCAGGGGTCAGTACGGAAAAAGTTTACAGGCATGAAGTACTTTACAAGCAAATCACAACTGGACGGGAAGAAAATCCTGATACAAAATATAAACGAAAAACCCAAACCCTTTCAGTTTTAAAAACATGATGTTGCCAACATGTTAACGTTTTCGGTCGCTAAAAATTGTAGGTGAATGTACCAGTTGCCATCTATATTTCTGCATTCTTTATTTCAGCCTTGACTTACTGTTGCTTCTTCTTTCAAATCG